CGTGTCCGTGCCGCGATGGAGGAGTGGGCAGGGGCTGGCGGCCCGGCTGGGAGCCCGCAGGGGCTGGCTGAGGCCCCTTCCGAGGAGGTGGCACCATCTGAGCGGGAAGCGGGTTGCAGGGGGAAACGGCCGTGCGTACGGGGCCGGCGGGAGGGAGGGAGCGACCCCCCCGGCGCGTCCAGCAGCGCAGCCCCCAGCTGGGGCTGTGTAACGGTGCGCCCTGGCCTGGAGGCCGAGAGCTGAGGCAGTTCCCCGAGTTGGCGACGATATTGGGCGGGTGAAACGTAAAAACCCTGGTTTACCCCAGTTATAACCAGAGTTGCTTATTTGCGTGTGCTACGTGGGTGCTGTATTATAGGCGTAAAGTACAGTGGTCCAGCAGGTCAAATAGAATCTGTTTGGCCCCAGCAGACCACTGAGCCACGGCTAAAATAAGCGTATAGGCAGGGAGTAAGCATGTGGTGGAGCTTCCTGTGTGTGTCTTGCTGTTCCAGGTGTAGGGTATGGTTGTTGCTTCTGTGGTCAGTGGTCTTGTATGGAATTTTTTTGCCCCCCTGTAAATTTGCCCAGCTGTTTTTTATTTGCTGTGAAATTACAGCTTCCTAAAAACTCTTGGCATGGAACTGGATTTCTCAGTTCTACTGTGTAGTTTGTTTCTTTTTTTACTTTAATTTGTCACCAGCTAGTAGCATCTGATGTCTTCTTGTTTCTGTATTGAAAGAGATAGTAAATAGTTGTCCCCCGTGTACGTTCTCAGAGCCAGTCAGGATATTCTATGGTTGTGTCAGATGCACTGTCTTCCCCGCCAAAGACATAGTTTACGTAGTTGTTTCTCAATTGGAAAGTTATTGTGGATCTGATTAGTTTGGCCCTTCTGCTTTCCACTGTCAGTGCTAGGGCCAGGATTTCCTTTCTTTACTTCAGTTAGAGGTGTGGTGTTCAGGTGTTGCATTGAAAGCCACTGTGAAAGAATATTGTTTAAGCTGTGGAGATAAAAGGCTAATACGTTGCATATCAATGTCACCTGAAGTCAGTGGTGCTTTACAATTTATGGTTCCCTTCTGAAGCTCAAGTGTTAGGTTATAGTCATTTTTCCTGTGGCCACAGTGTGGTTGTTATCTAATGGTAGTAAATCAGAGCTAAAATAAAAGAAATAAGAGAGCACAGAGCAACTATTATTAGAGTTTCTATTTCTATCATTACAGTTTCAGTAATATGTGATTATTTTTTTCTAATTACATTCTTACAAATGGCTGTCCTCACATGCTTGTACCTATCCAGCAATTCTTGTCCCATGTTGACATACAGGGTGTTTCAGAAGATTGGCTGAAGTTTTTTAGTCTTTAACAATATGAAAAAATGTTTGCAATTTGAACAATGTCTGATATCCTGCATGGGATACTTAATGCTGTCTTGAGTAATAAATAGATAGATAAATAAATGGGTCGTCTGAATATACTGACAAATATTCCTATTGAGACTGTGGAGTTACTTACTTTTAATAGCTGTGCCATAGCAGATTTAGAGATTCTACTTTGGAGTCAGTACTGTTTTGCTGTGTTGACAGTAATGGGTAACAAAAACTTATGCCTGAAAAGTGCTTTCCTAAATTTACTGGGGTAAGTATAAAAGGTATGCAATAACAAAAATATTTAGGAAAACACACATTTTATTCTGTATTATGAGAATTTAGACTTTTGATTGAAGTAGCAGAGAAGCTAAAACTAGTTCTCTATGGAATAGTAATTTGTACCCCTTGATTTTGGGTCAGAGGGTATCCAAGGCTTTCGGGAGTCTGGACACCCTGATTCTACAAAATTAAATTTTAAGAAGAAAACAAGAACTTTACAGCAGTTAGTGCTTGAACATTCGGTCTCTTGTGTTTTGGGTATAGCTATTTGTGTGAGAGAATAAAAATGCAGGTTTTCTGGTTGTTTTTTTCACCTCCTTATTCATCCAGCTGTGCTTACGCAAGTAGTGAGCATCACAAGACACTAGTGTTTTAGCTGCCACATCAAAGACATTGTAAATGCTATACATATGCATGAACAAATTAATGTTTTGGGTATACATGTTGAACCGAGACTGTGTTGCAAAATCAATTATATGTTGCAAAAAGTTTGTATCTTTTTTTTTTTCCCTCCCCTATTTTAGAGAGACATTTATCACGTAAGAGAAATGATTGAGTCAGTCAAAATAAGAAGACAGTGCATGCTGGATTTCTACTCACATTATGAACATCTTTGTGCTCTTCAAGGCTCTGTCCCATTGAAAGCTGTCAAGGTTAACATGGCTCAGGGCGCTCTTGATGTAACTGTAGATCGCATCAAAGCTGCTGATTGGGCACCACTTCTGAATGCTATCAGGCATAATAAGACTCTGGCTTCTATTGGAATAAGAAGTTTTCATCAACAGGGTCTTGGAGAATCAGGTTTGTAGTGCTGGAATATGTTGATGTATGCATGTTAGAATTCCTTGCATAAAACTTTTGTGTGATTGAATACATGGGAGGAGGAATTATAATGCTTAAGGAATTATTTCTGTTTAAGAAAAGCAGCAAAAAAGCAAGATGTGATTATGATTGCTTTTAAGCCAGTAGGGACTGGATTTTACTGATGTGTAATTTTTGTCGTTAACTAGGTGTTGAAAGATATAAAACTTACTTTAAAAGGAGAATTCCAGCAATTCGATCAAAAGACTTGACTGGCCAACTATGCAAAGCTGTCAAAGGCTGTCTCAGTATATCAGATGTACTAAAAAATTTAGAACTGCAGGGTTTGCTTCTGAGAGAGAGAGATCTAATGCTTTTAACAAAGGTGAGAATATATTAGTATACAAATAAGTGGAAAATATGCTTAGAATGTAGAGAAGTTGCAACTAAATTTAATAAATATTTTCACAGATGAGGATATTCCTCTTCTAGGCTATTTTTGTGTTTTCCATTCTATGAATGATTCTGCTGGGGCATTTAGTATAACCTTGCCTTGCTGACCTGTCAAAATCACATAACCTTTCCTTACCCTGATTTGTTGCAACTTGTTGGAAAGTTATTAGCAACATCCCTGCCATGTGTTTGCAGCGTATAACTTATGCCGGTGACCGAAACTACTGTGCATGTACATGACAGAAGGGAAGTTGTGGGACACCAAGGAAATAGAAACAGTTCTCCAAGATGTGCTGTTAGAACACTCCTCAGTTCCCTTGTGAGTGGCTTCTAGGAAAGGGGGTTGCTGCTTGTTGCCCACAGCTCCTCCTGAGCTTAAGAAATGAACCAGCTTGAACTGAACTTTAAGGTTCACTTGTTTTGACTTCCTCTGAACCCACTAGAGTTTCTTGTAGTGAGCACAGAGAGTTCTGAGTAGTTTGGTTGACTTGGTCTTTTCTCTATTTGTATTTCTGATTTTTGAGCCGGTTAACAAATACTGGTTTTATTCTGAAGGGCTTGGCCACAGCTTCATCTCTGGAGAGTGTCTCTTTAGCCCACTGTCCAATTGGAGATGGAGGATTAGAAAGTAAGTTCAAAATCAAAAACTTGTAAATATACTTCTTTCTTTTGTAGTCCTTTAAATAGGTAAATAAGTTTTTCAGTATTCCCATTTCTGTTTTAAATTTGTCTATAGTGATTAAAATAACAATCTTCACTTTATTCTGCATGACTTAACAACATTTAAAGACTTGAATTTCTTCACTTGATACTAGTAAATAGCCATACTACTTTATAGCTATATTTATACTTTTATCTAAAACAAATAATAATATTTGTTTGAGGTTAACTCGATTTGCTCATGTTTGTATAAGTAAATAGTTTGTTCAGATAGTCTTTACTAAACACTTGTGCTAGAAATAAATAATCCTAGAACACTTTAAATTTATTTAAAATATACTTTGTATTTTAACAGTAGTTCTTTGTCAAGGCTCTTACCTATTAAAGCTGATTCAGCTTCCTTAATATGGCACTGCAAAAGTATGTTCTGATAATCTGGCTGTGGTGTGTGTAGATAACTTGCATGCTTTTCTTTTCTTCAGCAATCTGTCAGAGCGTAAAGAATTCAGCTACCATCAGATATGTAAACTTCACAGGTTGTAGCCTCACATGGCGAGGGGCAGAACAGATAGCAAATGTATTAAAGGTAATTTATTCACCTTTCTTAGAACCAAATACTCACAAGAATTTAAATAAAATTGATTTTTTCTTCTTTTACTTTCAAGCTCTTAAGTCCATCAAAGCAGTTTGTGAGCAGCATATGTGAATACTGAAGTTAAGTATGTGAATAGTCCTGAAATTTGTGGCTTTGTATATGCCAAAAGTAGCTTAGTTCACTGGTGTGGGATTTAAATATGGTGTTTCTTTGTGAACATCAGTTAAATAACAATACAGACTGATGTATTTTCTCTAAATGAGGATTAGGACTGTAAATGCCTGGCACCTGTTTTGGGGAGCATTTCTTTCATTGTCACAACTGTTGAAAAATGTCTTAAGTATTCTTAAGCATTGGGTAAGAATAATTGAGTTTACAGTTTAGAAGTTGCTAATTAACTGATTAGTAAACCTGTGACTAGTACAATATGCTAATTAATGTTAACACTGGTTTGCATGAAAGCATGTAATTTCCTAGTGTGCCTTTCCTATTCAAGATGCATTGAAAATGTGTCTGCCAAAAGAAAGTAATAAGATGTTTTGTAGTCATATTTAATAATTTGCATTGCAAATTGGATTATCAGGACAAACATGACTTAATTGTAATGTTTAAATATGACTTATCTTTCTTGAACTCAGAAATGGTATAACTATGTTACTTAGATCAGCACTAAAGCCAGTAACATCAATTACATTTATTACAAAATAAAAAAAAGGTAACGTGATCTTCTTATCATCAGTAATGGCTTTGCCTTTGCACTTGGTAACAACTTCTTTGCTTGCAAAGCACCAGGCCATGAAAAGACACAGTGAAGCTTGGGCTGAGAGCCTACGTTACAGGAGACCTGACCTTGACTATATGACTGGATTGAGGCGCATTACTTTCAACTGCAACATGCTTGTTGGAGATAGAGGAGCAAGTGCCTTTGCAGACTGTCTAGGAGAGGACCTTTGGCTAAAAGGTATTGTGAAATATTGACTGTCAAGATGGAGTAGTGGCAGGCAGAAAACTTGAAACTGTCAGTTATAGAAAATGTAGCCAGGGGAGTAACTCAATGTTTAGCTAGGAAGGAGTGATCTTTTTACAAAAGAATCTTCCTCTTTTGAATTGTCTAAGTGTCTGAATACTATTATGTCCTCTAGTATTTTGGAGAAGTAATTTGTTCTACAGTACATCACAAAATGACTAATGGTGGTGGTGTAAGTCATAGCATTCTATACATGGAATCAAATACCTGTTGAAATTCTTTTATAGTTTGAGCCAGGTGTACAGATAACATGCATACTGATGGAGGAGAATGCTTAAGCAAACTGGACAGAAGTCCATAGGCCCTGATGGGATGCATCTGCAAGTGCTGAGGGATCTGGCTGATGTAATTTTTGAAGCCACTCTCAATAATCTTTGAAGGATCATGGTGGTTGGAGGGGTCCCTGAAGACTGTTGGATAGCAAATGTCACTCCTGTCTTCAGGAAGGCTGTGAAGAAGGACCCAGGGAACTACAGGCCAGTCAGTCTTACTTGGATCTCTGGGAATGTGCTGCTGTCTTAGAGGGACCTCAGCAGGCTGGAGAAGTGGACTGATGGGAATTTAATGAAGTTTAACAAAAGGAAGTGCATAGTCCTGCACCTGGGCAGGAATAACCCCATGCACCAGAACATGCTGAGGGCTGTGTGGCTGGAAAGCAGCTTTGCAGAAAGGATTCTGGAGGTCCTGGTGGACAACAGGCTGACCATGAGCCAGCAAAGTACCTTTGTGGCAAAGGTGGCTGATGGTGTCCTGGGCTGCATTAGGCAGAGACTTGCAAGCAGGTTGAGAAAGGTGATTCTTCCTTTCTACTAAGCACTGATGAGGCCAGACCTGGGCTTCCCTGTACAGGAGAGAGCTGGAGAGAGTCCAGTGAAGGGCCACTAAGATCATGAAGGGACCAGAGCAACTCTCATTTCAGGAAAGGCTGAGGGAGCTGAGACTATTTAGCCTGGAAAAGAGAAGGCTCAGGGTGAGTCTCATCAAGGCGTACAAATATATGAAGGGAGGCTGTAAAGCCAGGCTCTTTCCAGTGGTGCCTGGTGACAGGGCAAGAGGAAGTGGGCACAAACTGCAACACAGGAGGTTCCTCCCGAACATCAGGAAACACTTTCTTACTGTAAGGAAAACTGAACACTGGCACAGGTTGCCCACAGTGGTTGCTCCATCCTTGGACATCTTTAAGAGCTGTCTGGACATAGTATGGGGCAAGTGGCTTTAAGTGAGCCTGCTTGAGCAGGGGAGTTTGGCAAGATGACCTCCAGAGGTCCCTTCCAGTCCCAGCCATTCCATGGTAGTGTCCATGCACAACATTAAATAAATGCCAAATCCACAGCAGTACTATTTCAAGGCAACCGTGTAACTTACTGATGTGTGCAAACAATGAACTTGTAGGAGCCTTGACTCAGACTTTTTAGACAAGTTGTGTGTTTGTACATATGATGTTACCTGGGGCAGTTGAGTTAATTGGTGCCTGGGAATATTGTATCTACTAGGAGTTGTCAAGAACAGTGACTTAACTGTCATTTTTATATTCCTTCCTTTGCTGTTCTTTAGCAGTTATTTCTTAATGTTAATCCACAATACTAATTTAAATTTCTAGTTTTCTTCTCTGAAAGTAATATTCTAATTTTTGCACATGGGTGTTATCAGCACTTCCTCTTTTCTCATGCTTCATGTTCTATGAAATAGAGGTTTTCAGCAGGTGTGAATTAATTATATTAGATATTGATTACAGGTTACACCACTGAATATATATATATTTTTTTTTACCTCCTTAAACATTTTAGCACTTGATTTGCAGCAGTGTGGAATATCCAATGAAGGAGCAAGGTCACTATTAGATGCTCTTCAAACTAATACAACATTAGTGGTACTTGACATAAGAAAAAATCCATTAATTGGTATGTATCTCTATCTTAACTTTGTCCTCTTTGTGGTTCGGTTTGTTGTGGTTTTTGTTTGGTTTTTTTTTCAGTAACCCTAGGGAGAGAAATAGTCTGTTTTTAAGGAAAAAAACCTGCAGCAGTATTTTGCTAAACACTTAAAATGGAGGAAGGGAGCAGGATAGGTAATATGTACTGCTTATTTAGTGATCTGTTTGTTTGCATAAATACTTGTCTCATACAGAAAATTATTAATAAGATATTTTAATTTATTCTAGATCGCGTTATGATGAAAAACATTATTGAAAGAGTTCTTATGAATGGAGGTAGTGCTAATTCAGAGGTATGTGTTAGGCATTTTGGAGTGAGTTTGGGGTTTTCTTTGTAGCTGCCATTGCATTTTTTCTTTTTTAAAGGACAGCTTTGTTCAAAATTAATCTAAAACAGCTGTTCTAGTTATAAACAGAAGCCTGACTCAAGCAGTTTGAAAAACAAACAAAAACCCCCTGTGAAAGGAAAAATTAAAAATGCAGCAACATGATGTTATATTGGGCATTTTGTATGATTACTTAGGTAATTTAAGATGTAGCATGTAATAAAACAAAGGTATCCATTTAGTGAAAATGAAAATACTCAGGCATTACTGTAGAACATTAAGTAAATACTGCTGCCGGACTGCTGGAAGGCTTTCTACTACATGTGTCTTTCTTTTTAACATGGTAATAGTAACTTTTCATTGAAAAGTAAAGGAAATCACAATTTAAAATTTAAAACTTAATTTATTTTGAAACTTATTTTTTGTCAATAATTTACATAGCTAAGATTTTTTCAAGTTACTCAAGACTGTCCTTTCTGATACTAACAGTCTAAGAAACCAGTTAAAGTACAGTACCCTTTGCTCTCTTTATCTGATAGTCCGTAGAGAGTTTATAGTAATGTGCATAAACTGAATAGCTGGACCATTTATGGTTAGATACACTGTTTAAATACTGAGTCTTTTGTTTATAACACATAAATCGGATTCGGTTTCCGAAGCAGCCAGCAAACAAATGAGTGTACTCTTGTTCTTGTTTTCACAGAGCTGCAACAATCCCAGTTCTTGTTCTGGAACTTACTGCTCTTTTGGTTTTGAAAAGGCTTAAAAGTCAGAGATGTGAATCAGTAGGGAGTACGTAATAAACTGAGAAGTTTGTGTGTAGAATTCCTTGAGGGTTAATATGATTCCCCACTTCAACCTCTTCAAGGCTTTTTTTGAGAATTTGAGGTCGGTTGTGAAAGAGTACTCTTTCTCCTTGGCAGATGCAATCAACACTTGCAAAATGTTGCAGGGATCACATGAAAATAGCATCTGCCTGGAGATGCTCAAGATGATTGGAAAGTTGAACCATGAAAAGATGCTACTCTCTGGTGAATGTCCCATATACTGAGATCACTGAACTGAAGACATTTGTTTTATAGTCATCCAGGCAGTGCAGTGTCTTACTGGCAATGCTAGTAATTTTTCATACGTCGTTAACAGTATGAATGAAAAAAGGACTGACTACTGGCTTGCTAAGTAAATTGGCTTCTTCCTCAAATAAAACCAACCTAGATCTCCTCTATTTCCTAAGCTCTGGGAGTAGGCTGTTGTAAATAACATTTGCTGTTCATCATGGGAACACTGCAGACACTCAGAAAGAGATAATCCACCTGTTTAGCAAGATGAATGTGAACATTTGATGTTGAGGTTTATATTTTTTCAAAACTGAAACATATACTGCCCTAGTCTAGGATTTACAGTTGGTTTTGAGCTCAGTTACAGAAGCCTGGATATTATGAAGAGAAAAAACAGTTGAGTTCCTTTGAGGTAGTGTCTTGATGTGCTCTATATGGAATGTCAGCCATGTGGGGTTTTGTTTTGTTTTGTTGTGTGTGGGTGTTGGTGGTGTGTTGTTTTGTGTTTTTGTCGTTGTTTTTTTTTTAAGGAGTCAGAACTCAGGGAATAAATTAGTAAATTGTCAGAGGTATTACTGAAGACAAACAGTTGGTCATTAAGCTCTGTTGCAGAAGGAACTGCAAGATCTGTTTCTTTGTTCTGTCAGTAGTCAAAATTCAGACGTTAAATTTTAAAAAACCCTCTTTACAAGTGTATTTGTGAGAGTCTTAATGAGATATTCTAAATTCTGGATGTAACTACTCTCATTCTTTCTATTTTTAACAAGTTTTATCATGATCCAAACATTTCAGTTATTTTTCAGATTTTCCATTAATTTTTTTATGGAGGATCCGTTACAAACTAAGTTTACAAATTTAAATAAGCAATGTTTGTTTCCTGTAGCTTAAGCTTGTCAAACAGAATACAGTCAGTTAGCATCTGCGTGGCTTCCTTTTGTCATCTGTGTACTGCCTCCAAACCTGTGAGGTGTTAGAAGGGTATGCTGGTCCATTTTTTGTAGTGGAGAAAACGTGGGTATCTATCTTTGAAATTATTTAATTTAGTAGGGAATTTTTTTTCTTTTACATATTGTAGTTGCTAGAGATCTGGATTTCATACGGATAGAAAATGAAGAATCAATTGGACTAAGTTTAGGTTATGTGTAGACTTCTTGAACACAAAGTGAAAGGTGTAATTTTCTGTGTGAAACTAATCTGTTGCTCAATGTTGCAGCATGTGGCCTAGCTCATACCATGTCTCACCCACAGATAACTAAAGAACTGCAGGGATGATCATCCCTAGTACTGTTTCCAGTTTCCTCTGCCTCTAGTTTCGGCTTTTTATTCTCCCAAAAGCTAACTGTCATAATTCTCATGAAGACTCAGAGAAGTGTTGAATTTGTTTATATCTGAGAAGTGGCAGAGCTGCATTCTGTACCATCTCATCAGGCCACCTGTTTTGTCAATTCCATGGTTTTGCTTATGCAAAATATATATTAAGGTGCTGCTGTGTTGCTTTACAAAGAGAAGTTTGGTGGGCATTTGAATGGCCTCATAATAATAAACTATCATAACTACAAATGATCATGTCTTGTCTGCCACAACCTGTAATGTACTGTCACCACTTGCTTACTGGATACCAGTCCCAGCAGCCCTTCCATCCTGTTCTGTATGAAAACTAGTTGTTTCTCTTTGCTTTTCAGTAGCATGTAGGTGCTTGTCTTTTGGGTTGGGTTTTCAAGTTTGCAAGAAGAGCTGCCTGCTGCTAACGGATGCCTTTGCAGTTGATGGGCAGCTACAACAGGAAAGCTGTATTATCCTAGCAGCACTGTGTAGCTAGTGTAGTGGACTGTAATCATAGATGTGATTTGGTGTAACAGGTGGTGAAAGTTTGTGTAGATTCTGAGAAAGACTGAATAACTTAAAGGAAAAATCCACTGAAGGTGTTTATAAAAAAAGTTACTTCCATAATCTCAGCTCAAGCACTTAGTAATTTTTCAACACTGTCGTAATATCTTTGCTGTCTTTATACTTAGATGTTGTACAACAGCAGCAGACAACTAGCCAAGAGACAGGCTACTGGGCTAGATGAACATTAGGTTAAACCTCGTATGGCTGCTCTTTCATGTGTGTAGTAAATTTAAATTAAGACACTTGCTCTTAGAAGTTTACAATTTAATTTTACTCTTTGTATTTTTTTTAGTTCAAAATGAACAATGCACTTGTCTAGGAAGTAGATCATAGAATTGCCTGGTTGGACGCTGAGACCTCTGTGATCATTGAGTCCAACTGTACCTATCCACTACTAAACCAATCTGTGAGCAACCCATCTACCTGTCTTTTAAACACCTCCAGGGATGGTGACTCAACCACCTCCCTAGGCAGCCTGTTCCAGTGCCTGATAAACCTTTCAGTGAAGAAGTACTTCCTGACATGCAATCTGTACCTCTCTTGGCACAACTTGAGGCCATTGCCTCTTGTTCTATCACCAGTTACCTGGGAGAAAAGACACACACCTGCCTCCCTACACCCTCCTTTCAGGTAGTTGCAGAGAGTGATAAGGTCTCCCCTCAGCTTCCTCTTCTCCAGGCTCAACAATCCCAGTTCGCTCAGCTGCTCCTCATAAGACTTGTTCTCTAGCCCCTTCACCAGCCTCATTGCCCTTCTCTGGACGTGCTCCAGCACCTCCATGTCCTTCTTGTAGTGAGGGGCCCAAAACTGGACACAGTATTCCAGGTGTGGCCTCACCAATGCTGAGTACAGGGGAAGGATGACTTCCCTGGTCCTACTGGCCACACTATTTCTAATACAGGCCAGGATGCTGTTGGTCTTCTTGGCCACCTGCGCACACTACTGGCCCATGTTCAGCTGGCTGTTGACCAACAACCCCAGATCCTTTTCCACCAGG